AAACAGTTTAAAAAATGGATTATCTAATAAAATAGTTATTAAGTCAAATTATATCAAATCTTATTGTGTTTTGAAGTTTTTTGAAAAAAATACCATTTGTTATAAACATTTTCAAATTTTTCCTTATCTTACCATGGACTTACCAGGAACCAATAGCCATAATCTGTTCATCACACATTCTACATGTAATACTCGAAAATTACATAACGCATATCGAGATTTTTGCGAAAAAACTAGACATTTCCACACAAAATCCAAAAAATTTTCGTTTTACTTACCATTTTCTGACCATCGCACTGAAACCTTACCATTCCCTATCTTAATACATTGGAAACCTATTTCCTATGTTAATACAATGAAATTCTAACCCTTATAGATAGGGATATTTATACACTATCCTAATACATGGGAAATCTAAACACTACCTTAAAACATGGTAAGATCGGGCGCCAAAATTTTTTCTGAAACTTACCATCTTACCATCTGAAACCTTACCATCGTAATACACTAGGAATCCTATTACCTAATTAGCTCCTAATTCCCTACAAGGAATTTCTTATACATAGGGAAATCTATACACTATACATGGGAAATTCGGGCGCCGAAAAAAAACTTACCATCTGAAACTTACCATCTGAAACTTACCATCTGAAACTTACCATCTGAAACCTGGTATTTTAATACATTGGGAAACCTATTCCCTATTTTAATACATTGGCACCCCAGAATAAAAACTCCGCACCCCAGTATAAAAACTTCGTCTAAAAAAGTACAACCTGTTTTCACCCTTCAAAATTAGTATCTTGCCTTCTTAGGCTTTTTGAGAAAAACTTGAATAATGTCGTCCAAAACGAGTACCATAGGGTTAGTACAAATATTACTAAAGGATGGATACCTTGTGTGGTGAAGGAAATCTTTTTATGACTTGGTGAAAGATGTTAAAAGCGTTACTAGAAAAAAAACGATTCAAAAACGGTTAAAACCATTTTATTGCACAGCAATTGAGCAGTTTATGACACGATAAAGCAATTGTCTAACAAAAAATCAAATTTTTCGAACCAAGCAAAGCAGTTTATTCCCATTGTCTAAAAACAGCATATAAAACACCCATTAATAGTTATATTTTGTTGTTATTTGTTATTTGAAAGAGTTTATGAAGAAAATCTATCGAAAGTTTAACAGTTTTTTGAATTTTTTGTGACGTTTTAAGCAATTAATAATTTGCTTTTAGCGAAAAACTCTCAATAGTTGATGTTTTTGTAGAAATGATAGAAAGTGCTTTTTTGATACTAAGATTTTGATACTATTGATTACAACCTTTCAATGATAAGTGAAATTTTTACGTACAGAGAGGCGTCCCTCTAATATTATTGAACCATTTCCTCAGTACTAGAAATTCGTATGTTTTTTATGCAAATAAACAATCATCAAATTAAAATCTTCATTGTGGCTTACCTCAACGTTCAGTTTTGGGGTACCTGCTTTTATTTGTTTTTATATTTTTGATCTCCCAAGATACCACATATTAGTTAAGGTAATCTTTAGGCCAATAAAACTATTGTTTTTAGCACACTTAACTAAATTACCAATTTTGAAAACGTTTTGTCAGAAAGGTTGGAAAAGAAAAAAAATGCAATAAATAAAAAATAAATTATTGCAATATAAAGAAGCAAACTTCACCTAAATCGAAGCTTAAACAAAACAAATAAAAAGGGCATTTGGAAACCCGGAAACTTTTTTAAAATAGAAATCCTAATTCAGGGAACATATCGGAGCAGTATAAAAAAAATCGATTGATTCAATTTTAAATTTTTATTGGACAGGAAATTTGCTCAACTTATCTGTTTTCATTGAAATTTATAGGCAGTTTATACAACCAATACATCAATAAAGTAAATTTATATAAGATTGAAAATGAAATTGCTTCAAAACTATAAATAAAACACTTTTATCTAAATTCGAATTGCGTTTGGCCCAAAATCAATTAAGTTTAGGTAAAGCCAAATATTTGTAGACAATAAAAAACATAAGGCATTTGTGATTCAATTAATCAATTTGCACGTACACGAACTAATGAAAAAACTCTTTGAAATATTAAGACTAATTTACCAAAATTTTTTTGGTAAAACAATTTTAAGTCACTTAAAAAGAACCAACGGATCAAAAAATTTTACACCCCAAAAATAAAAATAGCCGTATCAATTGAAATAAAGCAAAAAAGAGCTTTTTTTTGAAGTCCTATGTTTTTTTTTCCGAGTACTTTCCTGAAAAACATGGGAAAATTAACTTAAAATGAAATGGCTCAGCAGTGCTTCAACCTTTTGAAATATATTTTGCGACCAATTCTTAAAAAAATGTTTACAAAAATATAAAAGTATCTAACACCATTAAAACTAAAACTAATAAAATCGGGTTGTACAATATAAAAATCAAAATAACTGTCAAAAACCGAATCAGTTTTGTTATCGAAATATGCAATTAAACAGAAAAAACAGCATCATCTAAGAATTGAGAATACTAACCGCTCACTAAAATCAATGGTTGAATGCGTATTCTACGAAAACAGGGGTTCTTTTTTGGGACAAAATAATGATGAAAAAAAATTGTGGATTGATCAGTTTTATTTTTCGAGCTCTGACGAAGGCCTAAAAAGACGTTACTTGGAAACCGTTTTGGCGCTGCAGGGGAAATTATATCATTAATTCATATGCCGGCCGTTTTTGCAACTTTGGAAAGTTTCGAGTAAAAATTTACACCCCTCGTATAAAAATGTCGCACCCCCCGTATAAAAACTTCGTCTAAAATGTACAATTTGTTTTCAACCTTCAAAATTAGTATCTTGCCTTCTTAGGCGTCTTGAGAAAAACTTGAGGAATGTCGTCCAAAACGGGTACCATAGGGTTAGTACTGAAGGATGGATACATTGTGTGGTGAAGGAAATCTTTTTATGCTTTGGTGAAAGATGTTAATAGGTTATAAGAAAAAAATTTCAAAAACTGATGAAATCAAATAATTGCACAGCAATTGAGCAGTTTATGACGCAATCGAGCAGTTTATGAAACAAAACAGCAATTGTCTAACAAAAAATCATGTATTTCGAACCAATCGATGCAGTTTATTCCAATTGTCGAAAAGCAGGTTAAAAAAACTTTCGTTTTTCGAAGAAAAAGTCGGTTCAAAAGACGAAGATATTGTTCTATTTGTTATATGAAAGAGTTTTTGGAAAAAATTTATCATAAGTTATCTTTTTTAAATTTTTGTGACGTTTTGAGCAATTAACAATATGAATTTTGCAAAAAACGCTCAATAGTTGATGCTTTTGTGGAATCTTTTAAAAATGCTATTTTGAAAATACGATTTTGATACTATTGATTTCAACCTCTTAATCGTAAGTGAAATTTTCACGTACAGAGAGGCGTCCCTCTAAATTTATTGAATGTTCCCTCAGTACTAGAAATCAGTGAGTTTTTTATGCAAATAAACATTCATCAAAATAAAATCGTCATTGCGGGTTACCTCAATTTTCAGTTTTGGGGTACACTGCTTTTATTTAGTCCCATTAAATCACAAACCGGCCTTTTTTGCAGTTTTGAAAAGTTTCGAGTAAAAATTTACACCCCTCGTATAAAGTTTTGTCTAGAGACTCACAACCCGTTTCCACCCTTCTAAATAAGTATCTTGCCTTCTTAGGCGTCTTAGGCAAAACTTTGAAGAATGTTGTCCAAAAAGGGTACTATAGGGTACCACAATAGCACTAAAGGATGGATACCTTTCGTGTGAAGGATATCCTTTTATGGCTTCGTGAAAGATGTTACATGTTAATTCAAGGAGCATATGAAAGCATTATAAAAAAAAACAATATTTTCAATTCAATTTTCTTATCGAAGAAGACAGTTGCTCAGTTTTACTGTTTTCTTTAAAATTTAATGGCAGTTCAAACAACCAATACATCAATAACGTATCTTTTATATGGGATTGCCAATAAAATTGCTTCAAAACTACAAGTAAAATACTTTTTTCTAAAGACGAATTGCGTTTTGCCTAAAATCAGTTAAGTTTAGGTAAAGCCGAAGAAGTGTAGACAATAAAAAACATGAGGCATTTGTGATTCACTCAATCAATTGCACGTATACGAACTATCGACAATACTCTTTGAAATAAAAAGACTACTTTACCAAAAAGTTTTGATAAAACAGCCTTAAGATACTTAGAAAAAAACAACGGATCATAAATCTTACACCCCAAAAAGAACAATTATCGCATCAATTGAAATAAAGCAAAAAAATTTTTGAAGTCCTTGGTTTTTTTTTCTGGAAAACATGGTAATAAAATACAAGAAAATTGAACATAAAATGAAATGGCTCAGCAGTGCTTCAACTGTTTGAAATATGTTCTGTGCTTGCTCAAGTTGGTGCTCTTTCAATAGTTTTTACTCTGTTTTGTTGCCTTATTGCACATTTTGAAACATTTTTATTGAAAACTAGCTTCACTAATTATGTTCATTCGGGTTTTTTTATTAGAGACCTATTAATTCGAATTGACTGGATCTGGACACTTCACCTGGAATCAAAACACATTATAACTTAAAAGATAATTAGTACATAGTTTAACCAATGAGGTCTAGAATAGATAGTACTTAAGAGAAAAATCGCAGCGGCGCTTTAACAGGCTGAATTATCTTCTGCGCTTGCTCAAATTGGCGCTATTCCAATGATAATTTTTCTGTTTTGTTGCTTTATTGCACATCTTGGAACAAATTTAAAAATTTGTTACTGTAAATATGGTCATCTGAGTGTTTCAGTAAAGATCGAATAAACTGAATTGATTTACCCTAAAAAAATTGACTCCACTTATTGCAGCAATAACGGCAGCAAAAAAGAGATAGACACCCTCTATTGCCATTTGAAAACATATAACTTCTGTGTCTTTTGAAATTAGTTAGTTTTTAGGCATTGGACAAACAACCCTTGTCCTTCTATTTATGTTCAATGTACTTGCTTTGTCGCAGTTTGTAACTTCTGAAGAGAAAGGAAATACAACTTTTGAAGATATCGCTACAAACTGACTTTGAAAGTAACCGTTTACTGTTTCCCAACTAACTCAACAGCCTGAAATTGACCGATACAGTAAACATCTACAGGCAAGCCATAAAAGACCGGAGAATGAAATTGTGACATATAACTGCTACTTAGATCCCTACTTTGGAAGTTTTGTCTAAACCGGCCCCCAAAACTAAAACAAAGTATAAATCTTAATGAAATCTGCTTAGGGTTAATATTTCCAATTTCTTAGCTTCTTTTGCTTTGTTTGGGTAACTTTATGGTGCATTATTTATCCTTAAACAGAGAAAATTGCATTTCTTTTCAGCCCAGTAGTTAGAATATTTTTTTCTCGGATATCATGTTTTTATTAACGGTCTGTTTACTCTCGCTTGTAAAACCAGTATTTTCAATCAATCAGCCGGCTAGCCAAGCGAAAAACACTACATGGCATGAAGCGAACCGCCTGTTCCAACGTCTTCTGGACGAGAAGTATTGTCGTGTTGCGAGGCCGAGGTACAACCAGTCGCAACCTGTTCGGGTTTTTGCTCATGTGCGCCTGAGTGAAATTGTATCGATTGATATTAAGACCCAATTGGTGAGTTTTTTTTTGAAAAAATAGAAAAATAGAAAAGTTGATGTCAATATTGCTTTGATTGTGTATTAAATAACTGCAAAAAAATCAGCAAAACGAAATTCGAGCTAAATGGTTTTATTTCCAAGCCAACAAAAAACAAAGCCATAACCAAAAAAAAATGTTTTTTTTTCTGTTCATTAAACACCTTTTCTAAATACTTTGCTATCATTGCTCATATGATTTTTGGTTCAAAAAATAGGTTTTTTAATGGCCATTCAATACGAGTAACTTGATCATCTGAAAATCTAACACTTCAGATTTCATTTCTAAAAAGCATTACCCAAAACCTTGTCTGGCGAAGGTTGTTGCAGGTGGATGCCTTTATCAATTTGTTGACCTAGAGAACCAGGGGATAATTGGAAAGTTCAAACTGCTTCGAAAAACTCAAGTTTGACGGAAAAAACCCATCGTATTAAATGCAAATTTACAATCGCTATAAATGCTTCAAACTTAGTTTTTGTTTCAGTTAAACTATACAGAAACTGCGAGCAAAAAAGTATAGTTTCTATCACCAAAAACGAAAAATTATAACGTTTTTTCGTTAAAATAGAGCCACTTATCTATATTTTTAATTTGATTTAAACTCTTCGTTTCACAGAAAGCTATTACATTAGTGTAAGGCAAAACAAAATAATCAAAAATAGTTAAAAAAAGTTCAAGATTCTTTTTGTATCGATTGCCTCAGTCGACCAAAATGGTGTATACTTCGAATTTGAGCTCTAATTAAAACTGCTCGTCAACCACAACTTTTTCAGTAACAAAATGGTATCCCGCACCGGAGTTCCATGGATAATGATTATATTGTATTTTCGTGGTCTGTTTCAATAAATTTCGATAATAATCGATTATAATCGATTTAAAATGGATTACAATCCATTATTTTTATATCAATATAAGCCATTATAATCCATTATTATCGATTATAATCCATTAAAAATGGAATATATTTCGTATATTTTTTATGCCAAATTAATCGCTTATAATCGGTTTTTTTCCAAGTTATCGCATTTCCTGTTTAGTGCGGTTGTTTCATTAGGTTTCATAAAATGTTACAATTCACTTTTCAATTTTTATAACTTTTGTCTTATTACCGCCCCCTCCCCCCTCCCATTTTAGTTCGGGGTTTC